AAAAAGTATCATGGAGTCTACAAAAATATTAAGCGGCACAACAGCTTCCAATAATATAATACATAATAATAATATAAAAACTTTTTGAGCAGCAAATCAGCATATTAGAATGATTTCTGAAGGATCGTGTGACACTGAAGACTGGAGTAACGATGCTGAAAATTCAGCTTTGCATCACAGGAATAAATAACATTTTAAAATGAAACGGTAATATTACTCAACTCTGTCATCTTAAGCGAGATTCCAAATCACGAAGAGTGTGTACGCACATTTTAATGCATAAATACGTACATAAACATACAAAAATATCTTAATCTGACCTTGGGCTGTTCCTTCTTGCCTTTCTTCTGAGACTTCTCCTGTTCTTTCTCTTCAATTTCATCTTCCTCCTGTCAACATTAAGATGCCCTTTAGGTTGCACACACTTGGAATTTTTTTTACTGGCTTTTCAAAACAAATCGTATCCATCAAAACCTGAGTCACACACCTTAGATGGTTTAGCAGCGGCTTTCTTGCCCTTCTTCCCTCCTTTCTTTTCATTCTCATCTTTCTTCTCCATCTCTTCATCTTTTTCCTCCTCTGAGGCTTCCTGTGTTTGAGAGAAGAGAGTAAACCAAAGATCCTGGAGGAAAAATCAGAGCACCGCTCACCAATCAGACATAGTGTTAGTAAGACAGACTGGAATGTACAGAAAAGGGTTAGTTTCCATGATGAGCGAAGCACTTCCGTGTAGCAATAAAGAAACAAAACTGCAAGGTGGGAGAAAGACAGAAGATGTGAATTTGGAAGAAAGAAAATAGTGAATAAGAATATAAAGAAACAATCCCATGTACCCACCTTTATTATCTTAGGTTTAGCCTTATCTTTTTTCTTGCCCTTGGTTACCTTCTCAACTTCCTGAATCACATACATACACGTACAGAAACAGGCACATGTGCTTATGAATGTAGAAATATTCAAAATGCAGCCCAATATGTTCTTCCCTTCTGTATAACAAACAATGTGACTGCATGCAATCTTGATTACTGGAATGATTTGAAATGATAAATGACATGAATCAGCCTGAATTAAGACGGATGACGGATGAGTGGCAATATTACATGAATCCATTAAGAAACTTCACTTTTAATGTCTGAAACAATGAGTGCACTGGCACTGATCTGGAAAAGAAAAGAATTAATGCAAATGGAATGAATTGCACTGGGAATGTCATGAAGAGAGAGAGAGAGAGAGAGAGAGAGAGGACATGTGGGATTGGCTGGAATGGGACTGAAAGAGGAATAAACACAATATTACAGAGGATGAGTTATGTGGTGTGTGATGCATATGTACTGTTGGTTAGGTATATGAAATCTGATGATGCTGTAAAGATAATATCATGAACAGCGATAGTACAGACAGCCACTAAAACTATTGAAACAATATGTAAATATGAATTTAACAATGTCGTCCATGCAATTTCTCTTTACTAGAAAATAGTAGTAGTTTAGCAGTTTATAGCAGCAATTTAAATCGTAAATTCTTATTCTTATAAAGTTTCAGAAAAACTACTTATACTCCATATGAAACTATTTCAAACAGCATTTTGCCAATTCAATTAGTTACTATTTGCTACAAATTCATTTTAGTGCTTAATATTAATTTAGAGCCTACGTGGTATATTTGTACTTTGTTATTTTAAAACTAACTAGTGAGGGTAAACATTGACGAAAGATAATAAACTACTTATATAAACATATAATGCATATCAATTTTAACCTGAAATCTAAAAAAATAATAAAATAAATTCCATGGATATGAAACTAATATTTGTGATACACTGATCTGATTTAACTGTAATGTATAAAGCATTATATAAATAAAACTGACTAATTTCCCATAAAACTAAACATACGTTTATGTTTATTTCATGTATGTGTATATAAGTCTATACATGTACATATAAACTAAACCCGATACATAATGACTGACACTGAAACGGGAAGCACGCACCTTTGAGCTCTTCTTGCTTTGGGGTTTCTCATCAACATCGTCATCATCGCCTGCATCCTCTTCATCGTCATCACTTTGCCCCTGACTCAGAGCAGCAAATATGTTGCCACCCTGACAGAAAGAGAAGGACAAAAAATATATATATAAAAATCAAAGCTCTGTGGATCGGATCACATGACTTAAATTGCACTGTTCTATACACTGTGCAGCAGGAGGAAAATTATTCTGTCCACAAAGTGCATCCCAGTGAAGAGAAGTACCGCATAGTATATCAAAGCAACTCACTTTGTTTTTCTTTCCTCCTTTGACTGGAGCAACTACTGCAAAACAAAAATAAACCATGATGTTAAATATGTGGTGTGATGTGTGACATACTGGCACAAACCAAGTTTATGACATTACCCTCTTCCTCTTCTTCATCTTCATCACTGGGCTGGACTGACAGTTTCTTGAGGCGCTGCATGACCTCTGCATCATCATCATCATCCTCATCGTCTCCTGGTTTCCCTTTCCGCTTGTCTTTCTTTTTGTTCTGAGGCTAACGGCAAATGAAAACGCAATCCAAAAACATAACATATTTGACTGCAATTAAATGTACTTTAAATTTAATTAAATATATGGTAACACTTTATTTTAAGGTGTCCATGTTACACATGTTAAATGTACTATTATAATAACAATAATTTATGCATAATTACATGCGAGTAACCCTAAGCCAAACCCTAACCATATAGTAAGTACATGTAGTTAATTAATACTCAGTACTGAAATATATAATTACACTGTAACAATGACACCTTAAAATAAAGTGTAACCAAATATATTTTTATATTTATAAACATTGGAATTAATTCAAATAATGCACCTGTTTCCCTTGTGCCTCTTTCACTGGTGGTTCTTCTACTTTTTCTGGTTTAGTATCTGATGCCAGCTCCTCAAAAAACTGTCAAGATAAAAATAAAAATATAAAAATACAGAAATATGCATAAAACAATTCTGATGTCAGTCAGAGGTATTGGTTTTGAAAATGTATTTATTATTATTTTTGCAATCGTGTTTGGTTCTGTTAGAGCTGGTGCAACTCAGGAAATATTATTAAACACATTTTAATTACATATTAATAAGAGTAACTAAAAATTAAACATCAGATAATGCTTAGATAAAAATAGTTCGGATTTTTTTTTTACATTTGTTCGAACTTGAATGAACTCTTGAGTTCAAGCATAATGCTTATAATGAAAGTTATAACAAATCACAGTCATGAATTAACACAAATAAAAACTTACACTCTTCTTCCCCCTCTTATCCTTCTTTCCTTTTTTGACATTTTTTTCTAAACAAAGAAAAATGATTATGTTAAGCACTTTTGTAGACAGAAATACACTCAAACACACTAAACAGACTCAAATGACAATGCCACAGAAAGAATGGTTTGTGTATAGGTTTAAAACAACAGCTTTCTCAAAAAACCTAGTGAGCTGACTACCGAGACAGCATTTTTTGGCAGCACAGGAACGTTCCCCCCCCAAAAAAATGCTGTCTAGGTAGGCAGCTCACTAGGTTTTGAAACAACCGCTATATCAGCATTTAAAACTTGCGCAGTTGAATCTAGGCCTGCCACGATAACATCTTTTTGTTGTGCGATATATTGCCCCAGAAATAATTGTGATAAGCAATATTATTGTCATTTTAAACACCATTTTATGCCACTGAATATATAATCATAATGTAACAGCATAATAATGCAAGAAGGCCTACACACTTCCAAATGACAATAAACTTTTGATTCTTAAGAATATTTAGATTATGGAAATGAAGTATCAAAATATTAGATACCTTACAAAACTTGAATAAATAGTAAATAAACATTTTCTAACAAAAAGTGCAAAGTAACAAGTAAAAAAAGAGAAAAATGCACAAAGAACTTGTATGGAGATTTTTCCATCTACAGATTTTTCCCGGACCTTCATTTCTCTGTAAATTAAGGGTGCACACTATTGCTGAAAAACACAATCAATGCTTAGCAGTCAGATGTAATCTAAACCCAACTTTAACCAGTGGATGAATGAGGTTAAAATTTAGTGCAAATCTTTAGAATTGGTTAAAAACAAGAAAGCTCTCAAATTGTTTTCATTTTTGGGGCATGTATAAACTAATGTAAAAAGCCCCTTTTGGTTTGTTTTATTTGTTCTATTTATTTTATTTTATTTTCTTCTTTATTATTGGTTTATTGTGATCTTGTTTATCACTGGTTATGCTCAACCTAAGGCTGTTCACGTGTTGTTAGATTATGTGATGTGTTTATGTACCTTGTTTGTTTGTTGTAAATGGATGCATAATAAAAAAAAATGTAAAAAAATAAAAAATAAAAACTTAGCAGTCAGATGTCCGTATACATAAAGGCACAGATCCCTAAACAAGGCCATATCTGCAGATGAAACTTTGTTTGTAGAAGCATTTTTTAATTTGAACAAGCACCTCATGACTACACCACGTTATGTACGAGAAGCTGCAAAACACACAGGCGCAAGTGGAATGTACAAAACATGGTGACATTAATGTTTAAGTAAATATAATGGGCGACATATTGCGTCACCAAAAATGATTGAGGTCATGGACATATATTGTGCGATAAGTCGATATATTGATTATTGCGACAGGCCTAGTTGAAACATGGATCAAAAAGCGAATATGGTCTTAAATTTTATCAAGTGATGCAATGAATGCACCACCATAAACTCGCTTCTGTCGTAAGCTAATGGGATAAGCAAAAAATATAACAACAATATTATAATATACTATAATATAATATAATATAATATAATATGAATATATTAATATGTAATAATATATATAAATACAATTAAATTCAATTAAATTTGAGTCCTATCCATGGCTCTTTCATGACAATGTAGACCGTGTGTTTAAGACTTTTATTTTGAAAAGAGAAGGTCGCCATGGTTAATAAGGGGCGTGAGCGTCTTGCAGTAGGTCGCGTTCGCCGCTGGATGCCGCTGTAACGGGCAGATCCCGCTTCTAGAAGGCGATGGACGCATGCGCAGTTGCGTAGACTGGCTCTGGGCAAGGACATTAGGAGAGTGACATTTGTGTAACGTTAACAGCAGATTCATATTCTTTCTAAATCACACAGAAATTTGCGTCAATCAGATTTGGATACACTCTCGCATCTCTGCACAGTGAGCTGACGGTCCACAGCATTTCATCAGATTCAGGGTGGACAGGTATGCATCTCATGTTTACAAGCAGGACAGCTAGCAAACGACTGGCATGTATCGATATGAAGACTTGACAGACTAACTATTAAGTTATGTGTCCAACCTAATCACACAGGAAACCTATGATTCTTGATCGCTTTCAGCAGAAGCCCTATCTTTTTTTAATCGTTTACTTTGTTTCGGAATGAATTGGTAGTATTTGTTAGGTTGTCAGCTCAGAGTGAAAGTGTTGATTTGAAAAGTGTGACCAAAGCGTGATGGGCATCATGTGTCAGGCTGCGTCTGATCACTGTAAATACTGCCCTACTGTAAATATGAAATATTTGTCTAATCTAAAACGTGGATACAAGGCTTAATTTAATTCGAACGGATGGTTAAGCAATTTATTACACACTTCCACCCTTTCTTTTTTTATTATATATTTATGAATTAAGGTCTTGTTAGCATTTTTGTGCATCCAGAAATGCAGCACGGCCATCATCATAGCTACCAAAATGCTATTTATGTTGGTAATTTACTAGGTTTTTTTGACACTGTCAGCTTTTGCCCTTTTTCTGCCTCACAGTTGTTGCTGCCACTCTCACTCTTTAGTGAGCTGCCTGCTCAGACAGCATTGTTGGACATCTAAATGTGTTGCACACACCTATGATGGCCAAAATGCTGTCTAGGTAGGCAGCTCACTAGGTTTGACACCGCATAGCTTGTGTACCTTTTCCTTCTGCCTTTGTCTGGCAGTAATGTAGGTCATATGCTCCTGCAGCACTAGAGTTAATCTCTCACCTGAGATGGAAAAGTAATATTTATTTAATGTAGTTTCGCCCATGTATCATCTTTTTATTTTGAAATGTTACTGATCTTAATTTTTTTTGTGTGTTCATTGTAATAGTTTTGCACTTATGACTAATACGGTGTGCCTGTACACTACCATTCAAAACTTTGTAGTAATTTGGAAAGAAATTATTATTTTTAATCAGCAAGAATGTATTAAAGGGATCAAAAGTGACAATAAAGACATTTATGACATTACAAAAGATTTATGTTTCAAATAAATGCTGTTCTTTTGAACTTTCTATTTATCAAGGATTCCTGAAACAATTAACAATCTATCACAGTTTCCACAAATAATATTAAGCAGCTCAACTGTTTTCAACATTGATGATAAGAAATGTTTCTTAAGCAGCAAATCAGCATATTAAAATTATTTCTGAAGGATCATGTGACACTGAAGACTGGAGTAATGCATACAGCTTTGAATCACGGGAATAAATGATTACAATAGAAAACTTATTTTAAATTATAATATTTCACTACTACTGATTTAACTGTATTTTTGATCAAATAAATGAAGAGACGTCTTTTAAAAACAAACAAAAAAAATCTTATCAACCTCAAACGTTTGATTGTTAGTGAAGTTTAACTAGTAGAGCAATGTTAGCAATGGCACGAGTTAGATTCCTTGGAAACAAAAACTGATCACAAAATAAAGATAAAATGTAGACTTTGAATGCATTTGTGCGATAAGTCGATATATTGATTATTGCGACAGGCCTAGTTGAAACATGGATCAAAAAGCGAATATGGTCTTAAATTTTATCAAGTGATGCAATGAATGCACCACCATAAACTCGCTTCTGTCGTAAGCTAATGGGATAAGCAAAAAATATAACAACAATATCATAAATCACAATATAATAAATCACAACCTCTGTCAAAAATCAATTAATAACAGAGTTGTCATCATGTAAACTTTTTCAATAAACATATTCATGTCGTATTAACAGACTGTGGTGTAATAGAAACGCATAATCTTACCTGTTTGTGGTTCATCATCACCCTCCCACTCAGCGACATCTTTTGACTTCTTCGGCATTTTTCTACTAAACCTTTTCTGTCGCAAGGAATGAAAATACGGTATGTTAAATGAGACTCAGGGATGTCTCACAGTTGACAATGCTCACGAGCGCACTGTAGCTCAGTCAGCTCACATCACATCACATGCGGCCTATCCGCGCACTGCTACAGACACTCAAACGCCGGGAGCTCTGTTCGCGACAGCGCCACGCCCTCACTCAGGCCGCCAAAGGTATTGCACTGGCGCTGCCTGAAACGAGTGATTTCAAAGAAAAAGCTGTAGAAATAATATAATATAATATAATATAATATAATATAATATAATATAATATAATATATACATCAAGAAACCTACCTGCAAAGCTACAGTTACTGTTACTGTTAAAAGTTTTAGGCACCTGTGTAAAAAATACTGTAAAATGAGTATGCTGTCAAAAATAATGTCATAAATAGATTTTCTTTATCAATTAACTTATATTAACTGAATTAAATCAACAGTTGGTGTGAGCATCCTTTGCATTTGCAGCTTTTGCCCTAAGTGCACTTGCGCATAATTTTCAGGGAGCTTTGCAGGAAGGTCTCTTGAAGCATCTTGGAGACGTTGCCTCAGATTTATGTTTCAAATAAATGCTGTTCTTTTGAACTTTCTATTTATCAAGGATTCCTGAAACAATTAACAATCTATCACAGTTTCCACAAATAATATTAAGCAGCTCAACTGTTTTCAACATTGATGATAAGAAATGTTTCTTAAGCAGCAAATCAGCATATTAAAATTATTTCTCAAGAAACCTACCTGCAAAGCTACAGTTACTGTTACTGTTAAAAGTTTTAGGCACCTGTGTAAAAAATACTGTAAAATGAGTATGCTGTCAAAAATAATGTCATAAATAGATTTTCTTTATCAATTAACTTATATTAACTGAATTAAATCAACAGTTGGTGTGAGCATCCTTTGCATTTGCAGCTTTTGCCCTAAGTGCACTTGCGCATAATTTTCAGGGAGCTTTGCAGGAAGGTCTCTTGAAGCATCTTGGAGACGTTGCCTCAGTTCTTCTGGATTGAGTCTGTCTCAGTTTGTTCTGTTTCTTCATGTTATTCCAGACAGACTGACGATGATCAGATCAGATCAGATCTCTGTGTGGAGCACTGGCTGTTATCAGACAAATATCTCACTGGATTATTACAATTAATGGCAAAATTAATGTTTGGAAATGCAAACTGATATTTCCTACTGACACACTCCAGCAAAAGATAGAAATAACTGACTTAAAACCATTTTTAGCTGCTGAGAGACAAAAATCTCACTGGATTATTATAATTAATGGCAAAACGAATGTTTGGAAATGTAAACTGTTATTTCCTGCTGGCACACTACAACAAAAGATAGAAATAACTGACTTCAAACCATTTTTTAGCTGGTGAAAATACTAGTGTTCTAATCATTTTGGCCACCACTGTATATGTAGATCTATCACAGTTTCCACAAATAATATTAAGCAGCTCAACTGTTTTCAACATTGATGATAAGAAATGTTTCTTAAGCAGCAAATCAGCATATTAAAATTATTTCTGAAGGATCATGTGACACTGAAGACTGGAGTAATGCATACAGCTTTGAATCACGGGAATAAATGATTACAATAGAAAACTTATTTTAAATTATAATATTTCACTACTACTGATTTAACTGTATTTTTGATCAAATAAATGAAGAGACGTCTTTTAAAAACAAACAAAAAAAATCTTATCAACCTCAAACGTTTGATTGTTAGTGAAGTTTAACTAGTAGAGCAATGTTAGCAATGGCACGAGTTAGATTCCTTGGAAACAAAAACTGATCACAAAATAAAGATAAAATGTAGACTTTGAATGCATTGTGAGTTGCTTTGTTTAAAAATGTCTGCAAAATTCATAAATGTAATGAAGAAGATCTTGTTAGTGTGATTTAAATGTTTTTGGTTTTTTTTGCCCAGGTTAGGTTTTGAAGGACAGACGCTTCTTTGTGGATGAGTGAGTAATCAGAGGCAGCGGTGGATGGCAGAGTTCACGTTTGGTCCTCTTTGAGTAGCTTGAGGATGTCATCTTACTGAGACTCCATCGAGGTCACCGCAGCACCCTGACTTGAATGGCTGTGTGCAGAGGGGGTGTCTCTCTTTGGGTGGGGTGTGTCAGGAACCATGGCGGCAGGCAACCGATGACGAAACAGTGCTGGAATTTATGTCAGGTACACATTGTAACACTTTTTACCATGAAAATTTTATTTAAAAACAATTTTGAAAATAAGGGTTAAAGGGATAGTTCACCCAAAAATGAAAATTAGCCCATGATTTACTCACCCTCAAGCAATTCTAGGTGTATATGACTTTCTTCTTTCAGACGAATACAATCGGAGTAATATTAAAAAATGTCCTGGCTCTTCCAGGCTTTATAATGGCAGTGAATGGGGGTCGAGATTTTGAAGCCCAAACAAGTGCATCCATCCCTCATAAAAATGTCTACATCATCCACACGATGACTCGTGAACACGTGTATGACACGTTGATTGCGGTTTGTACATTTTTAAATATAAATATTTTTCTTACACAAATGCATCAAGTTGCTTCAGGAGGCCTTTATTCAACCCCCCCTTCAAAATCGTAGCACTTTATTTTAGTGTCCATGTTAAGTTAAATGTGCTTACTATAGTAGTAATTAAAAAAAAAAAACTTTTGTAAAATAATTGAAAGTTGTTATTGTAGATGATATAATATAATGTAATATTGTGTAATATAGATAACACTTTATTTTAGTGTCCTTGTTACATGCAACACATACTTACTATAGTAGTAATAAAAACTTCTGCACGATATTACAAGCAACTACCATAAACCAAATGCTGACCTTTTAGTAAACACCTATTGTTAATTGATTTAAAAGTGTGGCGTAATATAATATAATATAATATAATATAATATAATATAATATAATATAATATAAGTTCACAGAAAACATCTTCTGATGCACGACCTTGGACACATCATCAGTGTATATATAATATAATATAATATAATATAATATACACATTGTAACACTTTTTACCATGAAAATTTTATTTAAAAACAATTTTGAAAATAAGGGTTAAAGGGATAGTTCACCCAAAAATGAAAATTAGCCCATGATTTACTCACCCTCAAGCAATTCTAGGTGTATATGACTTTCTTCTTTCAGACGAATACAATCGGAGTAATATTAAAAAATGTCCTGGCTCTTCCAGGCTTTATAATGGCAGTGAATGGGGGTCGAGATTTTGAAGCCCAAACAAGTGCATCCATCCCTCATAAAAATGTCTACATCATCCACACGATGACTCGTGAACACGTGTATGACACGTTGATTGCGGTTTGTACATTTTTAAATATAAATATTTTTCTTACACAAATGCATCAAGTTGCTTCAGGAGGCCTTTATTCAACCCCCCCTTCAAAATCTACCACCATTTACTGCCATTATAAAGCTTAGAAGAGCCAGGACTTTTTCTAATATAACTCTGATTATTTTCTTCTGAAAGACCTAGGTTGGCTTAAGGGTGAGTAAATCATGGGGTGATTTTTATTTTTAGGTAACCTATCCCTTTAACATCTGTACACCCAAATATTTTCAAAGTGTAAAGAATATTACATTTTTTACACAACTTTACAGATTATATTTAATTTAATTAATTAAAATCAAAAGCTTTGACCAATTATACTTGTCTGATCTCTAATCAGATTCTGTCTGATTTGTAGACAACCGAATTTCACTTGAATGAAAACTGTAGGGCCCTGAGCAGTGCATCATGGACCTTGGCTCCTCCGAACAGTCTGCGTTACCTGTCCATTAAGCAGCCATCCCTGTCCCATCCCTTCCACCACGCATGCCAGCTGAACAGAGCGGCCAGCCTAGAGGAGGAGGAATGGGAGGAGGCCATCAGTTTGCCTGTCTTGCTCAAACCTGGAGAGACCGATGAGCAGCACACCGTGGTGGAAGTGCCCTTTCTCGGGCCGGCCAAACTAAGCGAGCTCCTTGCTTTGGGACTCAACAGACCCTTTGACTTGCTTTTTCCTTTAACCACTGTTGATGGGAGCAGAGAGGATGATATTAGTGTTACCGTAAAGGTGTGGACTGAGGAAAACCAGCTGATGGAGAGAGGCTCCTTCAGGAGTCTGTTTGAGGCCGAGGGATGCCCTGCGCCTTTTACGTTGGGATCTCGCTTCTTTTGTTTTCACTGCCCCGGGATGGAGTCTGTTTCGGAGATTGTGGATGAAGCAGGAAAGGGACAGGATGAGCAGAGCTTCTGTCTGGCCCCCAATGTCACACATTACAGCCATGCTGAGACTGAGAGAGTGGACAAGAGCTCCAGCCAGAGAGACATGGAGAATGAAGAGAAACTGGCCCTGATGCATGAAAAACTGAGGGTGGAGGTAAGATGGATGGACCACTAGTAGAAAAATGAATGGGAGAAAAACTGCTTGATATGGAGGCTGTGGGAATAGAAGTCCTACAGCCTCCAGCTAAAGATATTACACTTATGAGACCTTTGTTGTCAGATTGTATTTTTGATTAATGTTATCGCAATGTAATCTTGACTAATTGTTAAGGTTCTACATTGTGTTTCAGCTTCCCAGTTTCTTTGTGAAAAATCATGACTACAGCATATACTCTGAAGATGTTGAGTTCATCAATGGTCTTCTGAACACCAAAACAAGGTAGAGGGTTGCATGTTATACTGGTTTTTAGGCCTCAAAGTAGGTTATACTAGCTGTCAGTGAATCCCTGCGTCTGTTGTTGTTCAAACTCCGCTGGTTACATATTGCCAATAAATGGGTGTGGGAAACTCAGAAAATGATAACTTGTCTTTACAGCTAATAGACAGGTCAACAACACAATTACAAAACTGATATGATAATATTTTAATTTTGGCTGAGGTTTTTGCAAGCAAAACGATCAAATTTTGTTACCTCGAGATGTTTTGATTGCCTCATGTTTTGTCAATGTTTTTTCAAAGACATTAAATGTTTTTCAGGCAAAATTAATCATGTTTGTTGCATCATGACATTTTGATGTTTCAAGATTTGTTCTCAAAACTTTTTCTTTTATGTTGGAAAACATTTTGCTTGCAAAGCATTTTCTGCAAGCACGTCAAAAAAAGTTTTACCAAGCAAAATGTTTTCAAATGCAAAAACAAGTCTCGCAAGCAAAATGTTTTAAGGTTAGATCTAAATATGTTTTGAGGAAAACAAATGATTGGTGGCTTTGTTTGCTAATTACACAGTGACAGTAGTGACCCTCATGTTCCAAAATGAGTCAAAACTACCATTGAATGGCTGGTTTTGGCTTGTTACCAAAGTACCAGTATATTTGAAATGGCACGGCTGACTGGTATAATGCCTGTTCTTCTATCTCTAAAGGGGTCGTGTAGTGTACCAGCTGACGCTGACGCTTTGGCGATTGATGTGTCAGTGTTACTATGCGGAGGCTCAGCTGGAAGTGCTGAAGCTGACCAAGCATCCAGAAGACAGCTCCATCAAAGCTCGCTGGAGAGTCAAAGGCCTGCCCTTCCACTCCATTCTGGTCTTCTTCTACAAGAAAGACAAGAGCCACCTCTACAGGTGAGACATGCTGTGACCGGTCATCAAAACCTTGCTCTGTGCTCGTCTTTGTGTCTTCTTAATGATTTTTTTCTGTTCAGAATATATGATGCATTATCCACCTTCTATGTTGGCTCTGATGGACGAATACACCGGCATAAAGTCGAAAAGGTGAGGTTTGCTTGCAACTAAATCCTTGTTTTCTATATCATTTTTAAATTAAATAGGAAAATAATTTAAAAAAATAGTTTTTTTTTTTTATTATTTTCCAAGAAAGTGTCAGTGAAAAGAAATTTCTGAATCATATTACACTCCTGTTTAAGAGTTTGGTGTCAGCATGTTGTTGTTTTTTATTAATAAAAACTTTCCCCTCATTAACTGGAACACTGATGGATATTTCAGAGTGCTTTCCCTCATTTTGAGCAGATAAAAGTTGAATTTTCCAGATTTATTTCAGTAAACCGATGGGGATTAGAAGTGAAAAAGGGGGAACAGTTTTGTTTTAAAGCGCTGTGTGAAAAACCAGGAAAGAGATGTGAGTGAGGATTTGGAGATAATAGTAGCAGACCACATCTGCACAGTGTTTGTTGTCTTTTCATATTAATATAGTGAAATACAAAGAAAAAGAAAATAATCAGGAGGAACAGAACACAGCTAGAGGACTAAAAATAGATTTTATCACAGATAATCTGTTAAGACTAATGTCACATTAAGATAGCAAGCTTTATATTATATTCCTGACAGATAAACAGTGTTGGGAAGGTTACTTTGGAAATGTAATAGGTTACAGCTTACAAGTTACCCTATTTAAAATTTAATAAGTAGTGTAACTATTTGAATTACTTTATTAATGTAACCAATTACATTTGATTACTTTTCTAAATTTCTAATGAATGTTTTCAACTGATCATCATTTACTCAACACTGATTACTGTCAGACTTTCAGAATCCTTCATCATTTGAATTAAGGTTATAATTTATTTTTAAAGCACAGCCTCCACAAAATCAGACTAGCACCTCTTTTTACTTTGAGATCATTCTGAGGTTATTTACAGATTCAAAACCATAACAAGAAATAGTCTGATAGCCATGATACTGGTTTTTTTTTATTTGTCTTTGCATAGCTATGACTGGAAACTAGGGGTGTAAGAAAATATCGATACACATGAGTATCGCGATATTTTGTTTGGCGATACTGCATCCTTTCTCAAAAACGGAATATCGATATTTTTTGTAAAAAAAAAAATCATGCAAAATTTCTGTAAATTCGTTTTGACTTTATATCCCGACCGCTAGATGGCAGTCTTCATCTCTGAACTTAAACAGTGACAGGAAATACTAGCATTAGGGCACTAATGTTGGCGTTAATATAGTTCGCAGCTAGTAATGGAGGATGAAAGAATTGTCTCAGTTCCTGTTTCAGTGTACAAAGCTGAAGTGTGGCGTCATTTGGGCTTTTGTGGTAACGTCCACCGCAGGGCCGTGGCGTGGGCGCCGCGTCGGTTCCGCCACTTGCCACGTCCCGTGTGAAGAGCCTCGCGCGGGCGGCTGCAGCTTTCTCTCGTGGTGGGGGCGATTTGTGCAGTTGGGGCGGTGTTCGCGTCACGGCCTCGGCGATTCCACGCGGAACATAAATATAAACTGAAAAACCTGTGAAATCCAAGTGGAAAGGTTCTGAGAATGTTCAACATCTGTATTTATTTTACAATTGTTTTGTTTTCATTAGGAATCCTGCAAGCACTTTATTTTTCATTGATATTAAGCAGATGCAATTATTTTGTTCAGATCAAAAAGTTATTACCATAGACTGTATAAGGTTATTACATTGTATGCAGGGCCGTTTTAACCATTGGGCTAGGCGGGGCTGAAGCCCCGGGGCCCGAGCCATCTCATTATTGTGATGGGGGCCCTGCACTAAGTCATAGCCCCGGGGCCCAGTGCGGTCTTAATGCGGCCCTGCGTACATACCGTCTCCAGATCTCCAGGTAAGCCTCCCTGATCTTTGTGATACGGATTTAACTAAAGGATCCTGCAAGCACTTTAATTTTTCCCCCTACTCGTACTGCACAAAAAGTGGTTCAATAACTTTGAATGTTACAGGGACTGATTATTGCAAATGCAGATCAAATATCAGGTTAAATAATTTTTATTTATTTATGTATTGTTTGCATATGGTGGTGTGTTCTAAATTACAGTTTTCCTAAAATTATATCCTATTCTCCTATTCCTAAAATAAGAAATATCCCAATATATCGCCTTGCTTACAGTATCACAATGTATTGCAACATATCGTATCGCAACTCCTGTATCGTGATGTGTATCGTATCGCCAGATTCTTGCCAATACACAGCCCTACTGGAAACACATGCATCTAACAGTTAATCTTAAAAAAATAAAGCATATACATAAAACCAATTAGCAAATAAAACAGTTATCGTATAAATGTGTACTAAACTTCTGTAACATTGCTGTCTCATATTTTAGAGCAGTCACTGAAATTTGGGAAAGAAATCAATTAAACCTGTGTATGGGTGTGTGCGTGTGAAAATATTCAGATGTAACCCGCTTTGTAATCGTTAACATTTTCATAAGTAACTGTAATTTAATTACACATTTTTTTCTCAGTAACTGTAACTGATTACAGTAACATTTATCTTGTAATTAAATTATGTAATTCCTTTACATGTAACTAGTTACTCCCCAACAGATAAATATAGAGAATGCTGTAAAATGTACAGCTCTTTCAATCAAACAGACAAATAAGGATTATTTCTTGTGCAGCCTCATTATTTGAAATGATTTGTTTAAAAGTGGAAGTTCCCTAAACTTGAAGTACCACCCTTAATTTAAAATATAGTAGACTTGTTTGTAAAAAGGAGATACTGAAGAGATACTGAAAGCTGAAAAAATGCTTTACAATCGCATAGAATCAGAAGATATGGAGCAAGATTTTACATTGAGATTTTACTGTGGTCAGAGCTACCCAAAAAACCAAGTTATCAGAAAAATGGTTAAGTCGAGTTAACCAGTATTATAACCTTTAATGCTTGTCACTTAATTGCGGTATTTCTCAACCTTTTTGACTTGAAGGCCAACATAAAATTCAAATGATATTTATGACAAAGCTTATTTTCAAACAATTAACATAAATGGTATTACATTAGTTCTGTGATTCCATAAGTTTCAAGAACTAATTATTAATTATTATTATTATATTAATTAATTATATTAAGAACTGTATTTCAATCAAAACAATAGTTATTGAGCATTAGGAAATAAATATTGTCATTAAAAAAATTTAACACTTTAATTTAGATTATGATTATTCATATATTAATAATAATGTATTAATTGAAGTACACTTAAAGGGATAGTTCACCCCCCCAGAATTAAAAATCTGTCATTATTTACTTTTTTTTTTTTCTAATGAACACGAAGATATTTTGAAGAATGTTGGTGCTGGTCCCGTTTACTTCCATAATATGGAAAAAATAAAATAATATCAGCAACTTTGGTTACCAGCATTCTTCAAAATATCTTCTTTTACGTTCCACAAAAGAAAGAAACTCATACAGGTTTGGAAAAGCCTGAAGGTGAGTAAATGACTGTTCATTTTTGGGTGAGTTATCCCTTTAAGCCATCCTGCGGCCCCCTTGGACATCTGCTGAGGCCCTCTGATTGAAAAACAACATGTTATCGTGTCATCTTTGGTTTAATCTGAGTGTTTTATCTATGTTGGCAGGTTATGGAGGCTCGTCCTCCCTTGCTGCCCAAAGTGACCTCAATGCTGGCCGGGGCTCTGGTGGCGCTGGGCATTCAGGAGCACCGGCCCGCTCTCAACCTGCTCCCACTCCTGCTGTCTTCCCTCCGACAGACCCGAGCCTGAGCCGCAAATGCGTTTGGTCACACCATTAAAAAGACTTAAAAAGACTGAAAAAGATGCAGCGCTGTATTGTGTGGCTTGAGTGAATGAGATATTGGAAACCAGTTTTTTGGGGGGAAATCCGAAAACTGTTCTCACTTGAAACAATCTTCTTTGTGCGCTCTTTAATTTCCATTGTTCGAATATCACCAAACTGGTTTGAATCGTAACACATGAGGCCATCACTAACTAGGAGGTTAAAGGGTTAGTTCACCCAAAAATGAAAATTGGATGTTTATCTGCTTACCCCCAGGGCACCCAAGATGTAGGTGACTTTGTTTCTTCAGTAGAACACAAACGAAGATTTTTAACTCAAACCATTGCAGTCTATCAGTCTAATAATGGAAGTGAATGGGAATCAACCAAATTAAACCCTGCGGCTTGTGACGATACTTTGATGTGAAAAGACACGAAACGATCGGTCTGTGCAAGAAACTGAACAGTATTTATATCGTTTTTTTAACCTATGATCCACTGCAATGTCCAACTGTCCTGAGCGTGTTCTCTACAGCCGACCCGTGAGGCGTCTTCTTCTTCTTGCAATGGACCATTGACACTCCTTATTGAGATTGTAGATAGTGTCAATGGTCCGTTTGAGAGATAGGTGGCGGTAATGCACTTATAAGTCTGCGATCCGCCGTAAAGCAAGAAGAAGAAGACGCCTCACGGGTCGGCTGTCGAGAACGCGCTCAGGACAGTTGGACATTGCAGTGGATCATAGGTAAAAAACGATATAAATACTGTTCAGTTTCTTGCACAGACCGATCGTTTCGTGTCTTTTCACATCAATGTATCGTCACGAGCCGCAGGGTTTAATTTGGTTTTGTTTGTGT